CATGTCTTATTTCAAATTTATTTATTCTTTTCATTTTTTCTTTATTTATTGAGATGATTTTGATGCTAGTATTGAATTATGAGCATAGCAATAATTCACACACCAGCAGGTGTGCAGATTATGCATTGATGCAGATGGTTCTGAAGGCCATTACAGGAAACACAACTTTATTTCTACTAAGTGATATGAATTAGTTCTTGCATTTCTACTAAGAATTTCAGTTCCCGGAATATACCAATGCACCTAACACCAGTGTTGTCAAAATCTAGATTTAAATCATAAAATCTTTTATGATTTCAGTAAAGCATTTTGTGTAAAATCTAAACCAAAATCGAAAATTCATAAAATTTGAGGTCAAAAACGTAAAATCGAGATTTTACTATGAAATCAAGTAAAATTTCGATTTTACTCCCTGTTTGGCAACTGGACTTTTTGCCTATTTTCTTTTGGGCTTCTCATCTTGGGTTAGTGGGTTTTGATTAGATAACCCATAAATTTCAGTAAAGCATTTTGTGTAAAATCTATACCAAAATCGAAAATTCATAAAATCTGAGGTCAAAAACGTAAAATCGAGATTTTACTATGAAATCGAGTAAAATTTCGATTTTACCCCCTGTTTGGCAACTGGACTTTTTGCCTATTTCCTTTCGGGCTTCTCATCTTGGATTAGTGGGTTTTGACTAGATAACCCATAAATTAAGCTTATTTTTCATTTTAAAAGCCCACGACCCACACAACCCAACCACAAATCAATATTTTAATCCAAAATTCAGGACAAATTTGATTTAACCATCTAAAATTCTAAATCTAAGTCATCTTCTTTGGTCTTCACTTAGGGTTCGCCGCAGGGGAGGGAGAGATTGGATTGGACTGCCGCTGCTCATCACTGCTGCTGCCCACTACCTGTTGCTGCCCACTGCCTGTCGCTGCCCACTGCCTACCACTGCTCACTGCCACTGCCACTGCCACTGCTCACTACTCAGGGGCTTGCTGGAGTTGCTGCTGCGTTGTTGCAGTTGCTGCTATGCAACTCACTGCTCAGAAGCTTCTCGGAGTTGCTTATTTCCTGCCGTTGCCCATTGCCTGCCGCTGCCCATTGCCTGCCGTTGCTCACTGCTTAAAATCTCCACCAACTTCTTTTTATCTCTTTTGGCAGGAGAATTAGTGCTTATCATTTTTAATTTTATTTGTAGTTACTAGTTAGCTTAAATGTTTAACTAATGTTTATATTAAATTAATTAATTTATTTGTGTTGTTGGATATTTAGATTTTAATTAGCTAATTTCAAGTTTCTAACTCTAAATTTGATTTATTGTTGTTTAATTTTGATTTTATATAATTTATTATGTATTATATATTAAATTTTGTAAAATTTCGATTTTACCGATTCGATTTTACGATTCCGATTTCACCTAATCAAAATGATTTTAGGTAAAATCTCGATTTTGACAACCTTGCCTAACACTACCTTTTTAGATAAGCCTCTTGAGCTTGAAAAGAAGCCCGTGAGCTTTTAGCACTCTTTCTTCTAATGCCTTTACGTTTCCATCTAATGTTTTTACATCGGAATCCAAACTTACAATTTCTTTTTCAAGGGAGTCCGCAATCAATTTTGCTTCTGGACCACGACTTCCCTGTTGATCATTTCCCTCATTCTCGGCACCCTGATTCTTGCTAGCCTCAGTTTGAAATTGGGGCATCACGTCCTCCAATGGACGAGGACTTCCCTGTCGATCATTCCCCTCATTCTGGCCACCCTGATGTTTGCTACCCCCAGCTTGAAATTGGGGCACCGCGTCAGCCAATTCCTGGAAATAATCTGCCCAAGAGAGATCAGCACAAGACTCATCCCTCTGATTAGAAGGACGTCGAAGAACCGAACCGCTGTTTTCAGTTGGTGAAGCATCTTCAAGAAACGCATCACTTTGAATCCTTTCCAAATTATGATGCCCAAGAAACCCTTGCAACTCATTGTGATTATCTTGCTCATGGGTATCATTTATCAAAGGAATAGAGAGATTCTGAGAAGAATCTTTAAATTCAAGAAACGCATCACTTTGAATCCCTTCAAAATTCTAATGCCCAAGAAACCCTTGCAACTCATTGTGATTATCTTGCAAATGGGTATCATTTATCAAAGGAACAAAGAGATTCTGAGAAGAATCTTTAAAAGGAGTTAAAGCACTTGATAACTGCCGTTTACCTTCATCCAGTTCGTTCGTCTGTCGAACAAGCAACTTATATGTCTCCTTCCTCTTTTCGACAGGTTGCTGCTCTAGAATATCAATGATCCGTTCCGTGCCCCACATTCTGTGCAGATCACGAAAGTCTCTTAGTTCACCTTCTTCAACAAGAGCTTTGAGAATACAATTTCCCCCGTGACACGAACTTTTTCAGGTGATCTTTCGATGAACTAAACACCTTTCCGTTTTAGGAGTAAAATCTCATCAAAAATCCTGCATGTGGGCTCAATATAAGGTTTGCATCCAACCTATTAGCAATAGGTTGGAGTAACCCTTTTTATATTTAACCCATAAGCTTTTTATTTTTATACTTGATGTGGGATTTTCCCACTTAACACGCCCCCTCACGTGTAGGTCCGCTATAAATGTCGGGTCTTGTCACGTGGGTTAACACGCCCCCTTAAATGCAGGCCCGGTATCAACTTCAGGTCCTGTCAGGTGGGCTAACAACGAGCTTCCCATGGTAGAACTTGGGCTCTGATACCATATTGAAAATCCTGCATGTGGGCTCAATACAAGGCTTGCATCCAACCTAAAACCAATTGGCAATAGGTGGAGTAGCCCTC